CCAAACACCCAACAGTGTACCTCACATACACCAATATAATATGAACAAAAAAGTAAATCTATACTGTATAAAATACTAGTATAGATTAAAGGGGTAGCACATAAAATATATACAACCTGTAGATAATACAAGAAACTTCCTTCACAAGATCTAAAATATAAGAAAAATCACACAATAGTGAAGCATGTACAGTCAATGTATAATACACTCCCGGAGGTAGAGAACTTACAGGACCAAACTGTAGATCTGAACTTGTCTCCCTTCCATAGGGTATGTGGATAGAAGGTTCTTCTCTCGGGAAGCTGTTGTGTTTGAAATTGTAAAGCTTTATTGACACGTTACAGATTGAGCGTCTTGAATTTGCACCTTTGGTCCGTATATACAAGCTTCCCGAGAGAAGAACCTTTTATCCACATACCCTATGGAAGGGAGACAAGTTCAGATCTACAGTTTGGTCCTGTAAGTTCTCTACCTCCGGGAGTGTATTATACATTGACTGTACATGCTTCACTATTGTGTGATTTTTCTTATATTTTAGATCTTGTGAAGGAAGTTTCTTGTATTATCTACAGGTTGTATATATTTTTTGTGCTACCCCTTTAATCTATACTAGTATTTTATACAGTATAGATTTACTTTTTTGTTCATTTCTAAGTAGTAACATCAGTGTGTGTCAGCAGGGCCAGCCGTTGGGGTGTGCACGCTGTGCGGTCACGCAGGGTGCCATCACAACAGAGGCGCCCGGCGGACAACACAGCTCACAAGTTGGGGACACCAGCCTATTCAATTTAAACGATTCACTGGTGGTCCACTGGTACGCACCAGTAGTAGGTGCAGTCAGATTATAGCCTCTCCCTCGTGGTTCCGGCGCTCAGTTAGTGAGTCAGAGCACACGCTCAGAGATTCTCAGCCTGCGCTTTGACAACATTGAAAGTCAGAGCTGTGAAGGAGCGGGTATGGCAAAGAGCTAGTGATTAGCATAACATCAATATCTGTTATAAAACCAGGAAAAGGTGGGCACCATTGCACTGATTTGGTGGTGCAATGGGCCACTTGACTGATTTTGCCCCCCAGGCCTAAGGCTGCCAGCCCTCCCCTGCCCGTGTATAAGCTTTATGGTGTTTTGGAAAGTTACAGACTCAAATATATTGTTTGCCCATTTCAGTTTTTACACATTGAAATTTGCCAGATTGGTTTGCTGGGCCTATGTTGCCTCGGAGACCGTATTGGCAGACCAAGAATGAGAATTACCTGCATCTTAGCATACCATTTACCATTTGCACAAGTAGACAAGGCAGGGTAGTCAAAATGGGGTATGTCCATTTTTTTGTAGTAGAAACTTAGTCAAAAATCCTGGCTAAATGTAGTGTTTATATTTGTTTTTTGCATTATGCAAAACACAAACTGCACTTTCACTGATATTATTGTCAATGTTTTACTGCTCTAACATTCATTTGTGCTCAACGATGTGAGGGGAATTTGTGAAGGAGAGGGTTTGCCACAAACACGTTTGACATCTGATTCCAGAGAGGGTAGATTGGGGGGACTCCATAAATAAAATATCGAACAAAAAAGTTTTAACTTAAAATGTTGGCTGCTTTTTTTTATACAGCACGTCAGAACTGAAAATTGCAACCTGGCTTAAAGGGACACTCCAGGCACCCAGACCACTTCTGCCCATTGGAGTGGTCTGGGTGCCAACTCCCACTACCCTTAACCCTGCAAGTGTAATTATTGCAGTTTTTATAAACTGCAATAATTACCTTGTAGGGTTAAGTCCTCCTCTATTGGCTGTCTATGCATGATGACCTCCAGCGTCGCCGGAATCCCCATAGGAAAGCATTAAATAATACTTTTCTATGGGGAGGTCTAATGCACGAGTGCGGCCACTGCCGCGCATGCGCATTAGGTCTCCCCCGCCGGCTGTGGATAGATCTTGTGTGGATGCTCCTGCGCACTTGCAGCATATCTATCTAGATCTTACAAGTGGAGGCTGCTGGAGCTTTGATGAGTGCCACTAGGTATCCCTGCAAATCCATCAGTATGACAGGGCATTGCCAGAGATCTAAGCATGGCTACGAAACACAGATGATGTCCCACTGACTCCATTGCTCCTGATGACAACTGGTGTGTATTTTGAATCTCTTGGTCACGGTCTCGTCTCTCGCTGCTGTTGCTGGCAAACATGTCCTGCCATATATTATAAACACGCATAGATTTCCTAGCAGCCTGCTCAGCCTCTGATACCCCAACGGCCAGCCCCAGCCTGGAGAACACAAACCTATGTACAAACACACAGAACCAGGCTAGTGAATCCCCCCACAAACACAATTACTGAGCGATGCATCGATCTTACAGAACCGTGCATACAAACATTACAATATACCTCTTGCTATTTTCAAAATCAGAAGAATGGCTTGAGGATGCAGGCCATAACCCCCTTACCAGCCCTCCCATGTTTATTTGCCCTCTACATCCTCATGAGACAAGGCAGGGCCATCAGATAACAAATCATTATTAGGTAATAAATCGTCCTGCAGTTTAAGCTTGCATAAGTAGTATTGTAGTAGAAAAAAACATTAAAAAAAAATCACGTGTTAATATTTTTACCAAAACATTTTAAAATTAGTCTGTATTTGGGTGATTTTGCACAGGGACAGGACAGCGACATACAACAAGCACATGTCAAGCAGAGCATTTCAAAGCAAAGCATGTTAGCTGTGCCCTTAAAGGAACAGTACAAACACACAAAGAACTATAGCTTCAGATGTGCTCTACGTGTGAATAGTGTGTCCTCTCTTTTTGCATTTTACAAAAATGTCAATTTAATTAGAAATCATACATTTTATAAACTAACTTTTTTTTTTTTTTAACACGTCCCCAGCAGTCAGACAACAGGTCCTGTTACTTCCTGGTTTATTTAGCTCAGTGGAGCTAAAATCAAGAGGCAGCAATTACCCAGAGCACCTTCCTCGCAGAGATATGCTGTGATTGAACAGTCCCAGAAAGTCTGTCCTGAGGGGAGAAGGAGAGGACTTGCCGTAGCTGCAGATACTAGATCTGCAGCTATTGCAAGCCAAGATTTCATATACTCCCAAAGAAAACATTCATATTTTCTTTGTGGTTATATCTACTATTATTATTATTATTATTATTTTTTTAAAGACGTGTTCCTTTAAGGGTCAAGAAAGAGAAGCTTCTGCACAGGAAGTTTAAAAAAACTTGTCACACAATTTATAAACAATCTAACATTAATATTATACTAGCAGATGTGCAGGAGCAAAGAATGCACTTGATTAGATATTAGTTTTATTTGTCATATACATGTTTAAACTGAAAAAACAAACATATTAAAATGAAAAAGAATCAAAATGAATGTGGTTACAGAACAAAATACTACGTGGGAACCATTCCACAAGCATTTTGATCAAACCATTTTGGAATTGTTTAAACGAACAGGAGCCTCCAGGCAGTATGGTCTGTCGACTTACTATTGCCACTTGAGCTGGATCGGCTCACTTGCACATTAGCCGAGGGGCAGAAGTGATAGGTTGTAGGCCCTCCCCCTTCAATACTTTCCTACACCATCACATACATTTCTCTGCCAAACTCGGTAGGGCAGATTTGATTTGGAGCCCTGTCTTGCCTTCCTCGATTTGTACTTTGATGCAACTCTCCGGGAAACATCCAAGACAAATCCCCATAAACTACTGGCATTGCACTAAACCAGCTCTCTTGTGAATAAAGCCATCAGAGAGTCTAATATGTGCGCTGCAAAAATATACTACACCGATAAAGTGCTTATATCCTTGTCCCACCTGTCCCTCCCCAAAAATACCCTGATAAGTTAATAGAAGTTGAACTTACAGAACCGAACTTTGATAGGCCAGATCATAATGGAACTCAGAGCCAGGCCGGCCACAATCGCTACCCCTCCAGTAACAGCCACCATCACCCAGTGGTAGAAAGGATTACAAGCTGGGCAACATTGTTCAGTGCTGGGTAAGAGAAACAAAGATTACGGTTATAAAAATGTATGGTGAAAAGCAGATCCTTTCTGTGACCCCCCAGTTTTCCCGGAGACTCAGATTGTACAATCAATAAATTAGTTTAAAAATTGCACAATTGCAAAATTTGGCAGTTTTCCACAATTCCTAATTTAGTGAATAAAATCCATAAGCACATATTGAGCAAAGATTTTCTACCATTATTTTTGTCATCTCGTTTACTCGAAAGCCTTGTGAATACTTACTGGCAAGGATGCATTGACTGGATGATCACCACTGCCAATCCATTGGCTACCTTGTCCGTGAAACTCATTGCCCCGTACACGAAGGCGGCACTGTGCTGTAAGATTACAGGTAAAATGCATTGTGAGTTTCTCAGACTATGGTATGACCCGCAGCACATTGCATGGTTGCATTGAGAATCCAATTTATGAAACATATTAAAGGGATTATGCAAGTTGGACTTGCCACTTTCTTTTTAATGATTCTAAATATATATTTATTTTACAGCTACTAAGGATTACTTGGTTTAGTTGCACAAATGCTCTGCCCCCTCCTTTCTTTAAACCAGGTAGAAAAAAAATGTCACTTGTAGCTACATTTTAAATGACTTTTCTACAAGCCAATTTATATAGGTGTTTTCAAGGAACAAGTTGCAACACAAAATACAGTACATGAAAAAGATTGAATAAAAAAATAACATATATTACTAGGTATTTTAGAATATTTGATTGGACTACCAAAAGTCTAATTTTTTTGTAGTGTAAAGAGATAAGTGTACAATTATTAAATTGCTACAAAAAAAAATGCGGTGTCAAAATCAGCTTAAAGGACCACTCTAGGCACCCAGACCACTTCAGCTTAATGAAGTGGTCTGGGTGCCAGGTCCTTCTAGGGTTAACCCATTTTTTCATAATTATAGCAGTTTCAGAGAAACTGCTATAATTATGAATGGGTTAAGCCTTCCCCCTAATCCTCTAGTGGCTGTCTCATTGATGGCCACTAGAGGCGCTATGCTTTCCTCACTGAAAATCACAGTGAGAGCACGCTGGCCCATAGGAAAGCATTGTAAATGCTTTCCTATGAGACCGTTGAATGCGCTGCAAGAAGCCTTGCCGCGCATTCAGCGGGCGGGGCGTAACGGAGGCGGAGAGGAGGAGGAGAGCTCCCCGCCCAGCGCTGGAAAAAGGTAAGTTTTACCCCTTTCCCCTTTCCAGAGCCGGGCGGGAGGGGGTCCCTGAGTGTGGGGGCACCCTCAGGGCACTATAGTGCCAGGAAAACGAGTATGTTTTCCTGGCACTATAGTGGTCCTTTAAGAAGTAAGGGTTGGAGGGGTAAAGAGTTATTGAATATTAACCCTTATACAAGTTTTCAGATACAGAATATTATTCAATTAAAAAAAAAAAAAAAAAAAGAGACAAGAAGAAGCAGTTTAATATAAAAGCATGAGACCTGACGAGCTGTTCAGACATGATACAGTTAAGAATTAATGGAAGGATGGCATCAGATTCTAGAAACTGGTCCCAGTGGAATATTGTACATATTTAAAGCTGAAGTTGCACACTTTTACTCATGTATCATCTTAGCTCTTGAACGCTCTCTATAGGTAATCTTTAAACCTGCACCTTGGTTTGTTTAAACACCCATATAGTCAGACGCTAGGTGCACTGACAGTCCTTGATAGGACATTATATGGCAAACTGAGGGGTTGGCTCCCCCTAGTGGCCTTCACATATAAATATCAATACTATGGCTATATACGGCTTGTGACTTTCAATATTTTATCACACTAAAAAGCATAGATATATGGCATCTTGATACTTTCACATGGTAGTATACACACATTGGTAGTATTTAAAAAAAATATTATATATATATATGCGAGAGAACAGCACCGACGTGAGCTCCTGGCAGACGAAACGCCAGGAGCTGAAGATGATTCAAAGACATCAGCCATGAGGGACTGCTTCAAGTAAGTATTACTTCCCTTCTCCTGCACCCCACAGCCACCAAGCGGCAAAGTCATCATTGGGTGACAGAGCCATTTCAAACATTTGCATTTTCAGTAAGCACTCAGTGTGCTGTGAAATGCATCAATCAAAATGTGATCGTTCATGGTCTGTGAATTACCCCACAATATGACTGATGAAAATAACCTTTTCATTCATTTGGAAAATAAATGCTACAATTTAACATTGAAGCTGTTTTGCTAAATTATTTCGTTTGGAACTAAGCATTATTATTATTTCTTGGTTGGACCTACAGGTTACTAGAGTAGTGTCATGGGATGTTGGGTAAGATTTTATATATGTACGACTGTGGATATCATTTTTTTTCCCCTCCCCTACGCTTGGATATTTCCTCCTTCATAAACTGCACTAGCTATTCCAAGTGTCTCTGATACCCTCAACTCCTTGCTTCACCCTACTGTAACCCCTTCCCGTACTAACCTGGATGAATACTTGGAAAAAAAAATCAAATAATATTCAGGGATATCATTTTTTAAAATATGTGTGGTAACAGGTTCTTGATCCAAAAAGAGATCTGACTTCCATTCCGGGGTTAAGAAGGAAGTTTTTCTAGTTTGTTACAAAATTAGAAAGCGCTTTAAACGGTTTTTTTTACCTTCTCTTGTATCAACAGCATAAACACATTCTAAATACTGGATTTGATAGATACATGCGTCTTTTCAGTCTATGTAACAATGCAAAGAAAATAATGTATGATGTATGTACACGTTTGGTGTTAGATACTGAAATTTTTCTATATTTTTTATGAGATTTCTTTTAATATATAGAACTATTAATTTCTGGTTATTATATTCAGATTATTATGTATGACCTTTCACCTATTATATACATTCTAATGGTGAGGTATAATTTCTGTCCATTTTTTGGACCTTAGATTGTAAGGTTTGCCACATAATTGATTGATACATGCAACATTTGTAAATAATATTTTTTAGAGTTTATTATTATATTTTTTTACATATTTAACTTTTTTTACATACATATGTTAAGTTTGTGGCACACTTAGGTTATATAATTCTGATTGTAAGCATCTATTGTAACGAATAGATTGACACATGTAACTGCTATCAATATAGCTTATGTGTTTCAATGTGTCTTTGTTTTCGGATGCTAATAAAGTTTCAACACGCATTAATTCAGCTACGCATGCGCATTGGTCATTTCCCGATAGTAATTGGAGGCGGGCACATCGATGTTGTGCTCCGGCAACAATCTTGACGGAAGCCGGTGTCCTTCTGCGCACACGCAATAGCTTAATTGAGCGCGAAAATTTGAAGATAAAAAGAGACTCCGGAAGAACCGAAGATATCCACAGCTCCTGAGGAAGTCCTGAACAAAGCGGGACGAAACGCGTTGAGCCTTACCTACCATCCAACCAAAGTCCAGAGACTGTAATATCACCACTACTGATCCAGTTGCAAGTATATTTCAGCCCTGGAAGTCGCGACCAAGGGCTGTTTAGTTCAACTTTTCACTTATCACTGTTTTGTTTAGTGGTTGATGCCGGGCACTTTTTCCCAGGTCTCATAATAGGACTGTACATTGTTATTACTTTTGTATTGGATGTTTATGTATTTTATTATCTATTTTTATATAATTTTTTATGAATCAATTGCACTGTGATGCAAAATAAATATTTTTTAACTATTCATATTTTCTAAGCCTTCATAGGAGTATTTACTCCTGAGTGTCTTTAGTCTCCTACAAGACCACTATTTTCTCTAGCGCTTAGCACCCCCATTAGGTGGGATTCATTCCACCTTCTCCTCCTTTTTTACTTATGTAACAATGCAAGCACATATCCAAGCCTGTCAACAAATCGTGTCATCTTACATGAAAAATATTGCCCGTATTTACACAGAAACATAGAATGTGACGGTAGATAAGAAGCAGTCGGCCGATCTAGTCTGCCCAATTTTCTAAATACTTTCATTAGTCCCTAGCCTTATCTTATCGTTAGGATAGCCTTATGCCTATCCCACGCATGCTTAAACTCCTTTATTGTGTTAACCTCTACCACTTCAGCTGGAAGGCTATTCCATGCATCCACTACCCTCTCAGTAAAGTAATACTTCCTGATATTATTTTTAAACCTTTGTCCCTCTAATTTAAGACTATATCTCTTGTTGTGGTAGTTTTTCTTCTTTTAAATATAGTCTCCTCCTTTACGGTGTGGATTCCCTTTATGTATTTAAATGTTTCTATCATATGCCCCCTGTCTCGTCTTTCCTCCAAGCTATACATGTTAAGATCCTTTAACCTTTCCTGGTACGTTTTATCCTGTAATCCATGAACCAGTTTAGTAGCCCTTCTCTGAACTCTCTCTAAAGTATCAATTTGCCTCTTTCTTGCACTTTAACCTGGTTTCCCATTAGTTCCTAATAATTTTTTATGTGCCATTATATTCCCATATTAAAATTGCAAAGTGATGCTGTATACGTTGGGACTAGATAAATGCCAATAATAAGAATACATATTTTTTGCCATATCAATCAGTCTGGACTCGTCTTGTTTTCACATGTGATATTATCATGACCTTTTAAAAATAATCAACACTTCCAATCAGGGCCAGATTAAGAGCCCAGTGGGCCTGGAGCTGACAATTATGATGGGCCTAATTACAGAATCTTATTGACCAAAAACACTAAAACAACCATACCTCACAAGCGTCGTGTATCTGATGGAGATGGTGTTGAAGGGAAAGGATGCAGCTATAAAAAGACATACTCTATACTAATCTCTCTCTAATTTATGCTTTCATCTTTCAAGTAAATCCATACCCCCTAATAGCACTGTCCAGTGAAGCAGGAAGTCAATGGGCAAGGTAAAAGGGTGTGCCACTGGTGCGAATCACGTTACCATAACTGCCAAAAGTGCGAACATGCCCAAAAAAGGGGCATGTCTGTCCAAAGAATTGAAAGGCCAGCCTGGCATGAATGCATGCTGTCCAACTAAGGGCATACTATGCAGACAGCAGCCTGAGCTTGACATAAATGCATCAAATAATGCGCTTACTCCACACTTTCCAAGGACTGTCCCCTAGCACTCGCTGGTCCACTTGTCTCCTTACCTTCTTACTAGCAGGCAGAAGTTCCTGGTATATAGTCTGGGACAG